TATATATATATATATTATATATTATATTATTATTAGTTAGTTAGTTAGTTAGTTATTAGTATGTATATAGTAGTATGTTATTATACTATATATATAGTGTGTGTGTGTGTGTGTGTGTGTGTGTGTGTGTGTGTGTGTGTGTGTGTATTGACATGTATATCGTGAGAGGGATGAGATGAGTTGCATAAGTTGGGCATGAGGTAATGGTAGTTCGCCGCGAAGTACTATGTTGTCAGAGTTTTTGAGTCGTCTCCGCGAACCACTGGGAACATCTTGAAGCATCTTGCTACCTCTGGGAAGCCTAAGCGGTATAGCATCGCCATTTGTCGATTTGCACGCGTTAGTCGATCTTGCAGTACTAGTCTTGTGTGTGTAGATATGATTCCCCGTACTCACAGACAACTTATCGTCTGAGTGTTTAGTCGCGCTCGATGACATATTTTTATGCGCATAACTGCTAAAACTTTTCAATTTATACAACATCTTGTCCATTCTTTATGCTCTTAACTGCTGCTACTTACAAGCTAAAGAACTACTACATCTACGCAGGGCGAATCTGAGCAATATGGATTGGCGAAGCGTCTTCGCAAGCACTTGCCTGAGCTGTTCACCGAGGCTTACACTCCCAATGTGTACAACTTCCAGTCGACACAGGTAACACACTATTACAAACACACATGCCAGACGCCCGTACTTGATTTTGTGCTTTGTAGTTAAGTGCGTAAACTCAATTTCTTGATGGATTCTCACTAATGGGGTTCCAAGTGGTTTGCTGCTTTGCTCGGATCGAGTGATCGGAGATGGGCAGATAGCCTATGTTGTTCTCCCATGTATGCCGCACAGTCAATAATGTCTTCATATATGTGTATCATTAACGCATAGATGTGTATCGTTACCGATATGATAATACTGCCGGGATTACCTTGTACAATCGAATCTTATGCATACCGAGTTTAAGTTTCGAAAGAAACAAATCCGTGCTCACACTACATGGTATTGCTCACTATGTGCAACACAGATCAGTCGTACAGCGCAGAGTGGTGCAGCCTTTGTCTACGGTCTCTTTGAAGGGCAGGTATGAAGCAATTGATGATCCTGGTTGATATCACTTGGGCTTTGTTTTAGGTTGTATTGCAATTATGCGCATGCAAGAAATGCATAGCCGCTCTAGTGGAGCCCCAAAAGAGGCTTTTGGGTTTATGTAGTCCTGATTTCTAGTGTCTTTTGAAGTGTTCATAGAGCTGAACTTCTGACCCGTATCTCAAAGTTCCGCTTTATTCCGCAATTCTGATCATTTCTGAATATTATTGAACAATGTGTATGTCAGAATCGTTTCTTATTACTCAAGCCCAATACGGGTACCCTCTGCGCTTATGGATCGATCCTTTCTGGTTAAGAACTATAGGAAGTATTAAATGTCGACGTCTTAGTGTTTCCCATGTAGTCATGCTTGGCGTCTTTCGTCCTCTCAATCAAATATGCGCTTTGCATCTTATACTGGACTTTTCTTTAGGGGACTATTGGAGAAGCCAAGTATCAACCTGTCAGTATTTGGTCCGACAGTTTGGACAGCGATAATCGGCTCCGTTTTTATGACAACTGTCCTGTGTATTTGGATCTGCATGACAAACACGCCAAGAAGGAGCGAGAGGTCGTTGACCATCTGAAAGAGGTGAGGTACTCTAGCCTGGATTCCAGAATGCGCTACAACAGGACTTCGAGCCACTATTCTCGCGTCGTTTAATTCAATGGGTTTTCTCTTGTATACGTATTTTAACTCCGATGTCCGTGTTTGAATTTTCATGTCCTTCCCAAGAGTACATATTCAATAATACATAAGCAACGATTATGAGCCTATCAAGTGTGGTGCGGTGTTCACATATGTGCCTAAAAACTGGATCAAGTTGTGGAGAAGAGAAGGGCAACTTAGATATTTTCATCGACCGTTATATTAAGACTTTCGTCTAAAGAAGTTTGGCAAAGAACAGCTACAGTCAGTGCACTCTGTAGATACCTAACCACAGAAGATCGATCTAGCTCAATCATGGAGAAGGAGTACGTATGTATATACAGACCGTACCTCGGACCAATCATTTTACTTCAATGGCATCCTCCATGTTCAATACCAACCCACTTTGCAGATCGAGAAGGGGCCTATTATTGCGGCGATAGCAAAGCAGTTGAGTGAGAAGATGGGTATCGCTGACAAGTACATACTCACGTATAAGGACGTGCACGGTATATATCGCGCGTGCAACTATGATACAGTCAAGGATGGCGAAACCAGCCCCTGGTGCGACTTCCTGGGAGAAAAGGCTATCCGTACCATGGAATACAGAGACGGTATGCTATTGATACATTGCTACACATGTGTGTGTGTACAATACATACACGCACAAACACACAAGCACACATATGCACACATACGCACATATATATATATATGTGTGTGTCTGCGTCTGTGTACGAAAATGTCAAAGGTGTCGTAGATAAGCGATAGACTGGGCACCTATCCGTACAAGATCCGACTACACACACTACATTCTTCTTTCTTACAACCATAACCCCGAGGTCCATAATTCGTAATATATAACTATCAAGAATTGCTGCTTTCGAAAACTACAATACCGAGAGCGATACACCTGTCAGCTGGTTAAAACTTTTTTATCGTCTTATCAACTCGCAGATATGAAGCAGTGGTGGCTCAAAAGCTATCCACATGAGATCAACTATCACATGGCGTGTCCTCTGCTGCGAGACATGTTCAATCATGTGAAGCAACACATCGGTAAGCGAGAATACCTAAATCTTAAATGTACCGTGATTTATATACAGATATATACAAATATATATATATATATATATATATATATATATATATTATATATATATATATATATATATATATATCATTTATATATATATATGTATATACATATATATATATATATATATATATATATATATATATATATATATATATATATATATACTAAATATATTTTATATATATATATATATATATATATATATATATATATATATATATATATATATATATATATATATATATATATATATATATATATATATATATATATATATACATA